TTGAATTTTATCCAATTTCATTAAGTGAAAAATTGTACATTTTTTGGACAACACTTTCCATAGCATTTTTAAAACCCTTCAGAGTCAGTATAAAAATTTTGGATGAGAAAATGGGACTTTTTCACACAGGAGCAAGAAGACAACAATTTGGTTTTGGGCTTTTTTTTTCATGAAAAGACATGGTTCCTGTAGGTAATATGAGTAGAAGTTCCCTTCCTTTCCTTGAGCTCCGCATCATCAGCCACATCCCTTTTCTTCCTTATTTCCAGAATTTTTTGAAGAGTTCTTTGCTGCTGCTTTCTCCTGGCTCACCCGAACAGGAAATTTCAAAAACAAAAAGTGTTTGCCCAATTTCTTCAGACTGCTTTCTGCAAAGGCTCCCACCTGGAGCATTCTTGTCTGTCCGGTGATGAGGGAGGTCACCACATCTTTGGAGGTGGAGGTGGTGGCAGCTGCCCTGTGAGAGGCTGCCATGGGAGGGAGCGTACCAGCTGGCATGAGATGGGAGCCAGCACAGTGGTTTGGGCTGTCATTCCTATCTGGGGTGGGGTGGGATGGTGGCACCTTTCTGAACATTTGTTGCGTGGTAGTGAACATGAGCTGCAAGGGATGGGTGCTAGCACCTTGTAGGACTCTGCTTTTGCTTTTGTTGCCTGTTAAAAACTGCAACACCCCTGTGTCATACCATTCTTCTACAGAAAACAACTTTTCTGAAGAAATGCTTGCTGTTGCTAGCAAGAGTGGAGCAATACCTGTGTTGGCTAGGGGTTTTCTCTCTGGACAGGGTGGCCATCTGGAAGCACAGAGGTGCAGAAAACTGCTGCATCTTGGCAGTGCTTGGGACTGGCTCCACCTGTGACGCAGGTGGTCACTGCATTCTTCAAAAAGATGAGCTGAATGAAAGCAGCAGCTCTCCTGAAAGTTTGCCAGAGTCAACCTCCTGGCAAATCTATTATTAGGTTCCTTCTCCTTTGCAAAGAGGCGTCGGAGAGGCAGGCCAAGACAGTAGGTGAAGAGGGGGAAGATGGTTTTGGAAGGTGTTGATTAGGTGTTGATTAGGTCAGCCATGTGCAAATGTGATTTTAAGTTACACTATCATACTAAAACTGCTAGAGGCATGGCAGGCCCAAGAACCGAGGGGAAAGGATTGCACAAAGCACCTGCTCTGATCAGACAGTGGGAGGAGAAGCAGGTGTGTACAGGACATCTCCAAAGGAGGATGAAACCTGAAGAAATAGAAAGTTGATGATGTCAGGAGACCAACAGCATCAAAAACTCTCCTGAAACTTGGCTGGAGTGATTGAGAAGTGATGAGAAGGCCACAGGAGGCTTCTGAGGAAACTGTTTTAGATTTTGTAGAATCATGAAATGTTTTTAGTTGTTTAATCTTTTTCTCTCCCCTCCACTGTTGCTTCAGAAGAATGTCAGTGTGGCTCAGAAGGATTGCCTCCCACATGTTGTCGTAAGCATTTTGCATTGCATCAAACAAAGGCAGGCACTAGCAGTGTGTTTGCTGGGTCTGGCTAGCAGCACACCCACTTTTTTTTCCTTCTGAAAGAGCTGATTGCCCAAACACTTACACTTTTGTAGATGAAGAATTCAACCAAGGAGGAAATATGTTAATAATTCTCTAAGCTACTAATAACTGGAGTTTACTAAAGTGCAGCAGCATTGTGGAAGTTGACACTAATTACCCAGTTGCATCTTGACTTAAATAGAAATGAATGCACATTCAGAGACTGTGTAAATGTAACTTCTGGAAAATCTGGGTCTAGATGAGCAGTGCATGGGAATCACAGTGAATGCTGTATGGCTGATTACAGTTAGGATTGAATGCGGCCCTTTTCCCATTTACAAGGCCTTTGTAATGGTGCAGGCTTTGAAAAGCCTCCTCCCCGTAGGCAGCAAATGCAAAGCCCTTGGTACGTACGTACCACCGAGGAGCAAAAGCAGTCCCCTGCAAGCTCCCCTCCTTCTGCCAAACAGCTGAGATGGGGTCTCTGTGCATCCCACCGCCCTCCTCCTCCAAACCTCCTCCCACCTGTGGTGTTGTCATCCCAACATGTGCCATTCTCCCAGACCCAGCCAGTTATAGGGACAGGCTCTGTTGGCTGGACTGTCTTGAAAAGCTTTGTTTTGTCAGCTGCTTCCATCCTTACGATCTTCTGAGTTACCTTCTTCAGGCAATTCATCAGTAGACTGACTTTTGCTCCTCACAGGAGTGTCTGGAGCATACCGCATTGCCATGACCTCACAAAATTGTCCCCAGATTCTGCTAGAACGTGTTGAGGGAAAAACGGTGTAGTTTTTTTAATTGTATTTTTTTTCCTCCTCTAGCATTCCTCCCTGGCTTCTCTGCCCTTCTGGGAGCCCTTTTCCTTGCTCAGTTACTAATCCCTGGTAAGGAAAGACTCCCTCCCATAAGCAGCAATGTTTCGTCATAAGTTTTACTGCATAATTGTCTGTCTTACTACATAATTACATGTGCCACGCTAATTGCACAGACGCATGCCCTTTCAGAATGCTGACATGCTGTCATAAATGAATGCCTGGATTAGACCCAAACGCAATATGATCTGAAACGGTTTTTACATTAAAGCAGTGATGGAAGTAGACAGGCTTTAGTGAATGGGGTCTCTTGGACAACGGGGGGCATATTCCCAGCTCCGTGGCATGGAGGTACTGGAAGCACAGGACTGGCGGGCCCTTGGCTCCTGTTTGGCTCTGCAGGGAGATGGGTCTCAGTGGCTGGGGTGCACAGCTTCATTACCTGATTTTCAGTGTCTGTTGAAGGTGTGTTCTTGCAGCTACACAGGACATGTAGTTAGCTACCAATGTCCTAGAGGCTTTCATCTGTCTGTTTAGAAGCAAATGTTAGTAGGAGCATACTCATGGTTTGTGTGACAGGGGACAGCCAGTCCTGCACTGATGCTTATGTCCCTTTGCACAGACTGCTCCAGGTAGCAACATTCCCCATTTTGCATCAGCAAGTCAGGCAGGGGGGATTTAAATCCAAATACCAGAAAGGTATTGCAGTCTTAGTCCTGTCACCTGAGTACCCGTTGTGTCATGAGACCTGGAGCTCTGCAGGCAAACCAAGAGCAATTCTTGCCCTTTCAGGTTAAAAGAAAGCTTGTTTTTTCATTCCTGAAGTGCCCACTCAAAAAAGTAAGGACTTTTTACACCGTTGGTTCTGTATTTGTTTGCAGAACAACTGATTTCTTGAATATATCCTTAATAGGACTAAAAGAGAAACTGTCCACATTTAAATATTTAAATGGTGAAAAATGTAATATGCTTTAAGAAAAGTACTACTAGAAGCTTCAGCTGGAGAATTTCTAGGTTCAACAGCAAACGAAATGCAAGTAGAACCAGTGAAATACGTCAAGTAAAATATAGAGACAAAAGCAGGTTGTTTGTTTGTTTGTTTTTGAAGGTTTTTCCCAATGTTTAAGCACAATTAAGAAGAAACTATGTAATGGCTGAAGCCAGCATTGTCTTCAACTTGTGTACAACTACATAATTAGACAGAAAGCTCTTTCAAAGTGCTTTTAGAAAGAGAGCTCTTCTAGTTGTCTGGCTATAATTCCTTAAGGCGTGTCAAATGCATTTTCCTGCCTATATACACCCAGAGGCAGTGTGGTTTTTCAGGTCACTGGTAAGTGCCATTGTGCTCCTAGCTGATCATCTTCCGCTGCAGTGTGTATTACCAGCATGCGGGATAAGGGACGGCAAGGGTGGAGCTGACTAGCAGGCAACGGTGCCCTTGTTGGGTGGCCACTGAGTTCACAGGGTTCGATCAGTGCCCTTTGCTTCCCAGGCCAATGCCTCACACATAGAAGCACATGCAGAAAGAGGCCGGAGATCTCAGGTACCGGGTTTCTGTTTTGAAATGTTAGTCAAAGTGAATAGGTGTGTCACTTTTGGTTTTCAGGAGTTAGGAAGAGTTAGCAAGTTCTTTTTGAAGAATAATGCTGAAAATGACCTCTTCTTTTTGTGTGTGTGTGTGTATGTGTGTTTCCTTTTTTTGCCTTTCAGCAGTAAAGAATTACTGAGAAATTCATTGTCATATTACCAGGTTAATCAGAAGTTCCTTCAGACTTTACTCACAGGAAGTTCAGTAGACTGCTTGAGCAGTAAAATCTGCCCATACCTGAACATAGTGTTTCTTTCAATACCCTCCTTGAGAGCAGAGGCAACACATCAGGGAGAGATATGAATGCAGTGCATCTGCGTTGCAGATCAAAGCAGTGGGAGGGAGGAGACCATGATTCTGGTCCCTGTCATGCTCCTTGTGGTGGTCTTCATGCCGTGGGAGTTGCAAATGCTTCCTGTCTCCCAGGTCCAGTTGCATGTGGGTTTCCATGTGGGCTGAAGAAAGACCCTGTGTCTTTCCAGCACCATGTAATTCTACCCTGTGTTTGATGACTAGGATTGATCCACTGAGAAATGAACATTCCTTGCTATTGCCACATCCTTTTTCCTAACTTGGGATGAATCGCCTACTCTTTCTGCATCTTAGCATCTGTTTCTGCAAAACAGGGGCAGTAATACTTTGCATCTGTAGAAGCATGAGACTTCCTTTAGGTGCAGAAGGCATTTTTAAAATACCAAGATATAGGTATTGTGTGCTGCATGTGCAAACCTTTGAAGAACCTAAACTGCCAAGTCATTTATAACTTGGAAATGCAAAGCTCATTTTTAGTGACACAGTAGGACACAGGCATGTAATAATGACAAAGTGAGGATGGTGAGCAGATAGGAGATACTTAAATGAAAGTTTGTTTTTGTTTTAGTGCTTTGTCCAGCTTCTGGTAAGGTAACTTTCTATTTTTTGTGTTAATGATTTGCCTTGCCTTCCCACACTGTGAGGGGCTGCTTTAATCTCAAGTTTAAGAAGTGCTAGGATTTGCTTTCCAGATGGTGTTTACTCTGCAAAAAATAAAATGTTGCTTTTTAGGACTTCATCATAGTTTTGTTCTCTTTTTATTTTAGAAATCTTCCAGAATCCCTGAGGATGACATCAGGTTGAGAAAAAACAGAGACCAAAACTGTGCCAATTTCTTGGAACCAGCTACTGTGATTGCTACAAAGGAAGAGAAAATGGAAATTGAAGTTCCAGTTTCTGAACATAAAAGCATCACCACAGTGGGTTCACCACATCCCATTGACAATCCAACCCACTTCTTTGCCCCTGCTGCCAGCCACAATGGACTTAAGGACAGGCATGAATCTCTGGACAGTGAAGTTGCTAAAGAGATCAGATATCTAGATGAAGTGCTGGAGGCAAACTGCTGCGATTCTGCTGCAGATAATACCTTTAATGGGACATCTTCCCCTGAACCTAGTGCAGTCACCATTATGGATGGCTCGGGAGCATCTGTTAATGTCAATAATGACTCAGTATCCAGTGAAAGGGAAGAAAATGTAGTGGACAAGCAGGCACCCTGGGTAGTTGAGCCATGTGAAGCTAGCATATCAGATGAGAACCTGAAATCTAATGGCCATTCCTTGGGTGGACTGAAAGAAGACACTAGGGAGAGTCTGAAGGTGCCAGGAAGTCCCACTTCTTCAAACAGCTCTAGAAGATCCTCTAAGGATGGAGAAGCAACTCTTACAACTCTTAAGAAAGAGGCTAAGTTTGAACTACGAGCCTTCCATGAAGACAAAAAGCCCTCAAAGCTCTTTGAAGATGAGGAAGAGAAGGAAAAATACAGGGTCCGCAAAGTGAGACCATCTGAGGAAATGATGGAACTTGAAAAGGAAAGAAGGGAACTCATTAAAAGCCAGGCTGTCAAGAAAAACCCCAACATTGCCGCCAAATGGTGGAACCCTCCCCAAGAGAAGAGCCTGGAGGATCAACTGGATGAAGAGCATCTGGAGTCCCACAAGAAGTACAAGGAGCGCAAGGAGAGACAGCAGCAGCAAGGTACAGCACCAACATCCCCCAAACAGGTCAGCTGCTCCTTTGTACCACCAGAGCCAGTCAATATCAAGAAAGAGGATATTGTCACAGAGCAAATTGACTTCTCAGCTGCCAGAAAGCAGTTCCAGCTGATGGAGCATTCAGGTCCATCTCAGAGTCAGGCCCCACCGAGACGGTCAGGAACACCCAAAATGTTCTCCATCAAACCCTTCTACAAAAGCCTCAATTCTCCGCATGTAGACAGGCCACTGTCCTCCGTAACAAGACCTATATCAGTGTGCGGGCAAACAGGACAGTTTGAGGGTAACAGTGCCACTGTTGTCAAAGCACAGAAGGTCTCCTGTACCTCAGAAGATGATATGAGTGCTCAGACTACCACGGCTGACCCAGTAAGAGAGTTACCATGCAGTGATGTCCCCAGAGGCGGACAGGCCTCAAAACTGTGGGTGGAAGATGGAGAATTTATGAGTGCTAGAGCGGTCTTCACAGTGGTGAAGGACGACGGACAGGGCGTGCTAGACCAGTTCCCAAAGGCAGGCAGTGCCTCTTCCCCTCCAGAGGAGCTCGACTCTGGCTTGGATGACTTGTCTGTCAGGTCTCAGGATACCACTGTCTTGGAGACCCTTTCCAATGACTTCAGCATGGATAACATCAGCGACAGTGGTGCCTCCAATGAGACCATGAGTGCCCTGCAGGAAAACTCGCTGGCCGATTTCTCCCTGCCTCAGACCCCACAGGCCGACACTCCGGCGGAATGCAGGGGTGAAGGCATCTCCAAGTCATTCAGTGACCCAGGCTGTGACTCGCCCTCCTCTGCCTTGGCAGACTCCATGCTGATTGACGACCAGCTGGAGTACCAGGCTGGCCTGCTGGTTCAAAATGCCATCCAACAAGCCATAGCCGAGCAGGCGGATGAAGCAAACTGCAAGGAAGAAGAAATCCCAGCAGAGAAAGAGATCTCAGTCAAAGAGCAGCCAGCCACCACCGGGCCAACTCCAGCCTCCAAGGAGCAGCAGAACCCAATGTTTGAGCCACCCCAGGTGTCTTCACCTGTTCAAGAAAAAAGGGACACCGTACCAAAGACTTCAAAAGAGGAAGACTCAGGACTCAGGGAAGGGAAGAGTTTGCAGCAGTCGCCTGTGTACTCAGCCAGCCAGCCGTTCCTTGTGGAGGGAAATAGGCACGAAGTCAGCTATTTCAGCAAGTATTCAGAGGCTGCTGAGCTGAGGAGCACTGCCTCCATCCTGGCCACCCAGGAGCCTGAAGTGACCGTGGGCCCTTTCAAGTTACGGTCGAGGAAGCAGCGGACTTTGTCAATGATAGAAGAAGAGATCAGAGCTGCCCAGGAACGAGAAGAGGAGCTGAAGAGGCAGCGACAAGGTCTGCAGGTGGCACCGAGCCCTATTATGAAGAGTGCACCACCCATGCCCACCAGAACCGTGTCTTACAAAACTGCACCAGGTAAGAGGCCAAAGCGCTGGAGAGGAAGTGAAACATGACTGAAGGGTCAAGTCAGATTCGGTTTTATATCATTTTTGAATGAATATGTCATTTTGCAGGGGGCGGGAGGGTTGTCATGACTTCATCTGCCTGGAAACTGCAGTGAGGAGGAGGGCATGGGACAACCCAACTTTCTGTCTGTGAGCATGCCTGTGGATGTTATTGTTTTTTCCCAGCTATAGCCCAGAATTAACTTACATACCCTGCTGAATGTCATTAGGAAACCCTGCACTCTGTTCATCCCCTGCCACTCTGTAGTGTGACATGTCTATCACTGGGGTACTCAGACCACGCACTGAAGTTTAGGATCATCACAAGGAAGGACAGCAGTCATTAAGGAAGTGCAAATCTGCAAATTTACAGATTTTAGGGGTTTTGCATCAAATTTCTTTTTGTGTGTGTTTTGCTTTCTGTTTTCAGATATGTTTTGGTCGTCTTAATGAACTTTGTCTGGTAAAAAGATCTCCAGAGCAACAGTGAGTTGCCATGTATTTCAGCTGATGTCATTCACTACTGAATTAAATAGGCATCAATGCTTAATACATTCAGTAGAAGTCCTCCTCCAGCTGATCATCTTCTGGGTCTTTGTGGTGGCATTCACAGCAGTTACAGCAGCATATCTCTCTCCTCCTTCCCCTTTTCAAAAAATAAAGTCAAGCACTCATGTCTTCTTAATGTAACATTAAAAAAGAAATCTAAAAAAAAAAAAAAATAGAAACACATGCCAGGCTTGCTTCTGTTTAGTGAGTATTGACCTACATATGCTTTGCAAGTACTTAGAAGTTTTTATTAACAGTGATCATTGTGACGAAGTATTAATTTTGGCCAGAGTACTTAAATTCCATCCTTTTTTCCACTAGTGTAAATCTGAGCCAGTGATGCTTCCAGAAATTGTGCAGGGTGATTCTTTTCTTTTGAAAGTCATGGCAAACTTGAATAAGGTCTGGATGTAATCCATTACCCAGTCTGATTGTGAACTTGGAGTGTTACGCAACACACAAATAGCTAATACTTGTTTTTGTTTCTTCTGCAAACAGGATGATTTTAACCTGTGTTTCTTGCCAAATATGGCAGATGTCAACAATTTGTTTGAAGTGCTATTGTTATTACTCCCACAGAACGGCATTTTTGATATCCATAAACTGAGGTGTTTTGAGCAATGACTGACAAGATATGAGAGACAGGGCACTGTAGACTTCAGCTAGGCCAACTTGTGTAAAGGTGTACTCGTGACCGCTTTCAAAAACAGCATCATCTGTAGCTGCAGGCACTCAAAATGAGGCAGATAATGGTTGCTTTTTACTCACAAGTGATGTTGGAAGGGCTGCTGACACTAATGCTTGTTTTAACAGAGCATCTGGGAAAACAGCGTACTTCTACTCATTCTTATTTCTCTACACAACAAGGCATTTACTTTGTGTCTGATGTTATAATGTTCGTTGTAAATTACATTCTAGTGAGAATGATAAACTTACATTTATAATGAATCATTCCAGGCAGTTTCCTTTAAATGTCCAACTGCCATCTGTTCAAGAAATAAAATTGGGATCTATTAGCCAATGACTCAAGCTACTGCAATTTGCAGCTGGTGACAAGGCAAAGAATTAATTTCTAAGAAAAGATGAATATGTGGCAATGTGTAAGGTTGTCGTTGATCACAAAAACCACAAAGAACATTGCCAAAGTCATTCTTAAATCGTCTACTTTCAGTGCTTTATAAACAGCGGATGTACTCAGCAGAGCTCTCAGCTGGCAGAAATTAACTTGGCAACCATAGCCATGCAGGGTGCCTACCCTCAGCTCATCTTGTCCTTGCTGTCCCTTTAGCCAGCTGTGTCACAGAGATGCTTGCAGGCAAGCCACTCCAAGCATCCAAGCCACTCTCCATCATTTATCAGCAGTCCTGGTTGACAGGGAGGTCCCAGAAGACTGGAGGCTTGCCAGTATGACAAGAAGGGCCAGAAGGAGGATCCTGGGAGCTACAGGCCTGTCAGCCTGACCTCTGTACCAGGGAAGATCATGGAGCCGTTCATCTTGAGGGTGCTCACAGGGCATGTGCGGGGCAACCAAAGGATCAGGCCCAGCCTGATGTGGCACTTTGGAACATGGTTTAGTGGGCATGGTGGTGTTGGATTGATGGTTGGACTTGGTGACCTTAAAGGTCTTTTCCAACCTTAATTATTCTCTTATTCTGTGATCCTTAAAAATAGGGAGAAGGAATACCATGCAATCCCTTGGAAGAGTGCAGCAACTTTCATTTTATTTTAATATTTGCAGCATCTTTTCAATATTCACAAAAACAGAGGCAAAAGGTGATTCAACAGAGGCAACAGAATCTGCCTGTAAAGTTTCATTGCATCCAGTTACAGAGGTGATTGATGGAGCAGAAAAGAAAATCTACTTGTGGTAGGCACAGTAAGAAATACGCTGTAGAACATGTCTGATACTGTAATCTGAATATCTGATTTCATATAGAAAAATAATAATAATAGTAATAATAAGACTAATAATAATGGTGATAACGACAATAGAAGAAGAAGAAAAAAGAGATATGTCTGTCAGCAAATTGCCATTCCCAAAGAAAGAATTGGTACTCTTCTTTTAACATCAGGCTACCTCATCAGAAAGGGATTAGGGAGTCAAGTCTAAATTTGAAAAATCTGTTGCTAATCCTTAAGTGGGGAAGTGTAAACTCACTGGAACTCTTTTGAGGAGGTGCAGTGGTTAACTTGCGTCGCAGTGGCCTACCTGTCAGCTTGTTCGTTGGTGGTGGCAGAGTAGGGGTCTGGGAGTCCCAGAGTTTACTGGGACTGCTGGTGTTCCCTGGTTATTTATTCCTCCAGTCCCACTTCACTGCCCTGGAACATCATTACGTGGATAACCGAAACACAAACCACAAAAAGAACTGCAGTGAACTCAACTGCTAATTTCTGAAGTGTGGAAGATTAACACAATTCATGTGGGTGTATATGTGAAATAAGTGCTAATTACTGTAGACAGCAAGCAGGCTGTTTTTACCACCCTGACATACAACTTTCATAGAACTGACGGTAACACTAAGCTTGGTGTCTGCCAACCAGCCAGCACAAGCCAACCTGATTCTTAGTAATAAAGTTCTGTACTGCTAACAAGTATCCTTTAAAGTTGTTTGGGATACATTGAGGCAGCCTTTTAACCCATCTCAGATCACTGGAGCAAGACAGTAATTTCAGCAGAAGGACAACTATGTGTTGTGTGCACACAGAACAAGACCTTCTCCACAGTACTCCTGGAAAGGTGAAGGGAAGAACCTATGCGAGCTCCGTTCCCAAAAAAGTTGGGTTTCCTGCATGACGAAACCCAAGAAAGACCAAAAAAATGCTCAAGCATGCCTAAACGGACAGTCGTCATGGATATTTGTGGAGCTGTATTTAAATTTGGAAGTTTCCTGTGTTGTTTTGCTGCAGCACCTGCTGCACTTGGCAAGGTGTTGAGCAACTGGCTTGAGTAATCCTGTTCGTCAAAGGAGTTATGAAAATCATTACATGAGGCGTCTTGGTTCAGTGAAGGCTTTTCTGTTGGAGAGAAACCTGTTGTGAGTATTTGCTGTCTCATGACAAGTCATGGGGAGATCCCTAAAACAAGAAGCCATGCCTGGGAGAAGCTTTCTTTCCTGAACCTGCCACATCTGCCTTTTTGGTGTTTGTCACCAAAGTATTGCCAGGTGAGGCACAAGGCATGTTGCGCTCCCTGCACTCGCCTGCAGGCGCTCAGACCCATTTGCATGCACATCCAGGAGAGCTGCCCACCAAGCAGTCATCTTCTGTTGTCGGCAGTTGATGAACTAGATGAGAGAAGTTCAGTGGATGGCAAAATCCCAGTGCAGGGACTTGCAGTTTAGAGATGCCAGTGATCAGATACCTTTACATTTCAGGGAACTGTTCCCTCCAAATCGTGAGGGATGTGTGTGTGCTGTCGTCTTATTTCTTCTCCTTGCTTTCTTCCCCTGAATGACAGCTGTGGAGCATAAGCCTCTGTCAGAGGAGGCACGTCAGCCTGAAAACCATCTTCCACTTTAATTTTTCACCAGTAAATACCTACACTAAGGAAACTTCTCGGGTTCAACCACAGCCTGAAGATACGTTTTTGTATGGTGGGAGGAGAAGCAGAAACTTTGGGGCAAGACTTTTTTAACATCTATGGCCATTGCAAAAATGTTAATGCCCTGTATACGTGTAAAGAATAAGGATCAGGTATAACACATATGCATGAAACCCTTTTTAAAATGAGAATTTTGAGAAAGGCTAGAACAGCAATGAAGCCTTTGAGTTTATTTATGGAAGATACTGTTTCCTTACCCCTTCATAAGCACTGGTGTGAAAAAAGCAAAGTTCATCATTCTCTTCAAGGATACCTCTGGATTGCTCATCACTCATACCCTGAACACCTCCAGCAGTGCCTTAGCAGCATCCTGACCCAGGTCATTTGTCACTTGTTCTCTTACTCCCTCCCTAATGGAGGATGTGTATGAAGTGAGAGGATCTTCGAGAGATTCTTTTTTAAATGTTTTCTTTTTTTAAATGTGTCTTTGCATGTTCATGTCACTCACCGGATGTTCAAGAAGACCAAAGCAGCCCACCTTTCACCTGGAGTGGTAGTGAGGCTCCACCTTACCACAGGGACATTTTTTTACGTACTTCAACTTTCCCCTGACTCTAGCACAGACTAGTCTCCTAAAACAATTTGACTTGCTCAAATACCTTATTTTGAAAAGTTTTCTCTGCTGTGCAGGTGTCTTAAAAAATGCCGATAGCATCTGTAAAATAGTTGCTCTTGCTTGTGTGAAGCCCCATTCTTCCCATCTCCTTTGTA